ATAAGGGAGAGCTGAATGACTTTATCGATAATAACGAGAGTGATTCTAAAACGTCGCTGCCTGTGGTTGGTTTTTTGACCGACTAACATCGAAGCCAATATGCCGAATCGCCTCAATTTCTTCAGTCTGTTTTGCCAGAAGAGCATGGGACTGCTTCACGTTCAGTAGGTGATCCAACTCCCCAAATATTGTTCACAAACTCTGACATCGCCCTCCTATCCTCCCCAGCGCCCTCTCTAATCTGTCCTTACCTTTACGGCACCTTTCCCTCCGAGACCATAAGGGAATCCACCCACAAGTCACCGTCCCCGTGTCAGTCTTGTTATCACTGCCTGTCACCGCGTGTTAATTTGTTTGGGCTCATATGTCACGCTAATACCATTGGTACCAATTTATCCTTTTAGAATTATATGTGCTTATTTAGTTAAAACGCTTTCAGACGCAACCTTCATGTATATTTACTTTACAGATACCCTTCATATGCACAGGGAAGCACTGTTAGAGCATACATACAGATGAAATTCATATCTGCTGTTCGACCATTTTATTTACGATCCTCAAGATGACTATGCGTAAATTCAACTGTTAAAATGTGCACATGTGTATATGTTACTTACTATTTTATAGTAACATATTTATTTTAGGTATTTTAGGCTGACTACATTTGCATACAGATTTAAATAGGGTTTTCACAGGCATTGCCTACTACTCTACAAGTACTGGACTAATAGTTCTTTTTGCCAGACGACACTAGATGCACATCCAATTAAAACTGTTCGACCGCTGTAGCTTTTCAGACATATTCAAAAGAATCGCAATCTGTTACCGTGACATGTGGGGGGCAGGCACTTCGCTCTTCAATTTTTTGTCCCCTGCTTATCACCATCAGTCAACCCGTGTTCGCTTTACCCGCATTTTAGTCGCTCCCACGCAGAGTCGCATCTGGCCTTCATGCCACGTGCGCTGAATCGCGGTTCCGCGGTCGTCCTACCCGCTAATGCTGAGGTTCCCCGGCCGTCGGCCACTGAAGAGGCTCCGAAGTCGAATGC